GGACTGGTTTGAGAATGGGTCTTCAATCTTAATGAGGTAAGAATCAATGGATAAGGGTACTTAGAAGGCCAACTTTGAGAATCATTGCCCAAGATTTCACTTCATTTAGTTCTAAGCAACCTCAGAAGTCTGCATTTAAAATAATGATTTATTTCCAATGGAAAAAATTGGAAAAGTGATAGATGCATAAGGAAAAAATAGTTGGACCCATTCTGACCTCGAGAAATGAGTGATGTTAATGTCTTCTTGTGTTTCTTTCTAGAGGTGGTCTATGTATAATCAAGCCAATATACGTATGAATAACCTTTCTTTTTTAAGAATAAATACTGGCAGTCTATCAAATAAATTGTTCCGTCTTGTTTTTCTCTCTTAGCAATAGATCTTAGAAACTCTTTTTGAGTTTCTAAATATAAACTTTTTTTAAATAGTCGCTCACAACTATACCTTTATTTAGCAATCCCTCAGTGACAGGCAGTTCAATGGTTTCCAGAATTTTACTTCACAAGCAATAATGCAGGAAAAAAAAATTGAAGGAAGAAAAAAAAGCCCTTGTTCATTTGTCTTTGTACAAAACAGGGGGGGGATGTCATTGTGATATTAAAAGATGTATGCAGTTGAAATTTAATAGTTGGACCGGGTGGCACTGTGGTTTAGTGCTTGGCTGCTAATCAAAAGATTGACAGGCTGAACCCACCAGTAGCTCTGTGCAAGCAAGACCTGGAGATCTGCTTCCGTAAACATTTACAGCCGTGGCATGGGACCGGAAGAACTGGATGGTGCCCGGCTCCCATTCTGGAACATTTTGACCAAAGATCTCGAAGAAGAATCATAATTCAAAAGGAGAGAAGGCAGAACTGAATTTCAAAGTCTCATGCACTCAACTTTGTGGCATCACGGCCAGTAGGTGGCCATGAGATTATCGTGAAGCCAAAAAATGGCCCCAACGTCATCTTAAAACGGAAGCACTTTAGCTTAACTAGTACAAAAGGCCTCCCGTGAGCGTTCTGCTCCTTCAGGAACTGTCTGTGGGATCCAAGTGCCAACAGCAAAGGTTAGATGGGAACCTGGTGGGAGTGGGAGAGAGGGGAGGGCGGGGGTGGGGGCTGGAGTGAGTTTGTGTTCATGAGAAAGGAATGACTTAGGAATGGAGCCAGAGGATGGTTACACAGCTCGAAGAAAGCAACCAATGTTCATGTAGACACTGTTGAGTTTTGCTATGCATATTCTCAACCACCACAACAAAATAAAATTTAGGGGAAAACAAAGATGTATAGCTACAGCAAGAGTGAGGAGCCTGTTTTTTTGGCCATTTGGATGTTTGTAACATCATCCCCGGTCACACTGGTTAAACGTTTAATTACCTCACCCCTAATGTGATGGTTGGAACTGCTTCTCTTAGGGGACGCGTGCGACCCTAGCTGGTATGGATGATTTCATGGGTCGTACCTGGCTGCACGCCAGCTGTTCCCCACCCTTGATTTACAGCCTTGGAAACGCTCCAGGCCGATTCGACTCTGTCCTGTGGGGTCCCTGTCATTTGGAATCCACTCAGTGGCGATGGGTTTGGTTTGAGGTTTTGCACTTTTAACATCACCCGAGGTGATCCTCTCCAGGTGAACTATAAACATGCTTACAAAAACATTGTTCCTGGGGGAAAATAAACACCGAGAGAAACATTCGCTCCACTGTAAGCCAAGAAAACATTTGCTTTTATGTACAAAAACTCACCGAACAGCTTTAAAGAGGACAAACTTTATTGAGTTGTTTGCCAGTGAAAACCATTTGGATAGCTGAAGGGCGCAGGATGCAATCTGATAGAAATATACAACATCCTTCAAAATAGTCTCAAAGAACTGCACATGAGAACATATTTTAAACTCCGTCCGTCCCTCCCTCCCTCCCTGCGATTGAGTCAATGCCACCTCACAGCGACCCTGCAGGACAGGGTAGAACTGCCCCTGGGGCTTTCTGAGGCTGTGACTCTCTGTGGGAGTAGAAAGGCCCCTTTCTTCCTCAGAGCAGTTGGTGGTTCTGAACTGCGCCCTGGAAGTGGGTTACCAACACGTAACCCATTACAGAACCAGGGCTCATGCGGGAAATAAGAACATATTGGTTGTAATCCCGATAGCATTCCTTACGGTCTGCCACTCACACGAATATTTCAGCTCTATTGTAAAATGG